GCTTGGACTTGGCGCATGGGTACCATCAGTTACCAGTTGCCGAAGAAGACAAGGAGAAAACTGCTTTCCGGTCTGGAACAGGAGGGTTTTATGAGTTCAACAGAATGCCGTTTGGGTTGTGCAACGCCTCAGCCACGTTTATGCGGGTAATGGATAGAGCTTTTAATGACATGAACTTCCAATCTTTGCTTGTTTATTTGGATGACATCCTAATTTTTGGTTCCACATTTGAAGAAACATTAAAGGGGCTGGATGCTGTTCTCGGTCGTTTGAGTAACTTAAATCTTAAGGTGAAACCAGAAAAATGTCAGTTATTCGGAACAAAAGTTCGATACCTTGGTCATGTCGTCTCTAACGAAGGTGCGTTTCCGGATAATGAAAAGATAAGAGCAGTTTGTGATTGGAAGCGGCCTACAACAGAACGTGATCTTCGAGCATTTCTTGGGCTCACCGGATATTACCGGAGGTTTGTAAGAGGGTACGCACAATTGGCATCACCATTACATGATCTACTAAAAACCCCTATGGTGAATGGTACTCAGACTAGAAAGAAGAGTCGACCTAATCCATTACGTAGCATTGTGGGAAATTGGACAACAGAGTGTGAGAATGCTTTCCAAACCCTCAAGGAAAAACTGACTACAGCACCTGTTTTGGGATACCCAGATTTTCAAAAACCATTTATTCTTGAGACGGATGCTAGTCATCAGGGACTTGGGGCTATCTTGTCACAAATGCAGGGAAAGAATAAGGTTGTCATCGCTTATGCAAGTAGAAGTTTGAAACCAAACGAAAGAAACATGCAAAATTATTCAAGCATGAAATTAGAACTATTGGCTTTGAAATGGGCTATTTGCCAGAAGTTTCGTGACATCTTGATAGGTGCACAATTCGAAGTGTTTACAGATAACAACCCGCTCAGCTACCTGCAATCATCTGCTAAGTTAGGTGTGACGGAGATGAGGTGGACAGCAGAATTAGCCCAGTTTAACTTTACGGTTAAGTATCGATCAGGAAAAAGTAATACAAATGCGGATGCACTGAGTCGGAAATTGGACCATGGGACCGAACCTTGGACGACTAGACTGGAAGAAGTAACAGCATTTCACCCAGTAAATCCAGTGTTAAAAGATGATACACATGTTCCACTAGAGATCAGAACGAAATTCTGTGAGACTAATCCACTATTTCTATTAAATGCAATGCATACCATGGCAGAAAAGATAGAATCTCAGACTATCTCACCTTTACCATCCATCTCAACACAAGATCTAATTAAACTTCAATTTGCAGATGAATGCGTCGGTAGACTTCGATTTTATTGGTAAACGCAACACCCACCGACCGAAAGGCAGTTAATGCAAGAGCCTAAGCCTGTGCGAAAGCTCCTAAATAGTTGGAAAAAGATTGTTGAAGAGAATGGTGTGTTGTACAGGATGATACTTGATGATGGTCATAATGTTAAGCAACTAATAAATTGAAAATGTCTTGGTATTGACCGATGTGTTTACCAAATTTACACAGGCGATTCCTACACGAAATCAGAAGGCGTCAACCGTCGCGCGTGTTTTAGTATGTGATTGGTTCATGAGATTTGGAGTTCCACGACGAATCCATAGTGATCAGGGTCGTAATTTCGAAAATAAAATCATTCAAGAATTATGTAAATTATATAACATCAAGAAGAGTCATACTACTGCTTATCACCCAGAAGGAAATGGCCAGTGCGAGCGCTTTAACAGAACCTTACATGATCGGTTGCGTACTTTACCACCAGAAAAGAAACGGAAATGGCCAGACCACCGTTTTTAGAATTAATTTATTATTGTTCGAAAGCTAGATTATATCTGTCTCTTATACACATCTAGATGTGTATAAGAGACATGTTGATCATTTACTTGGTCTTTACACTGAGACTGAAGGAATTGGAGAAGTAGAGGAGTGGATATCAGAGCATCATGAGAGAATGGAGCAAGCTTTTGAAGAAGCCTCCAAGAGGACGGAGTTGAATGTGCTTCGAAGAAGGGTAGCTCGGGATGTCAAGGCTGAAGATGTTGACCTAAAAATTGGGACAAGAGTATTTCTTCGCAAGAGGAATGTAAAGGGAAGAAACAAAATTCAAGATGTGTGGGATCCTATACCTCACCGAGTAGTTAAACGGTTGGAGACAGGAGGTCATACATATGTGGTAGAATCTCTTCAAGGGAAGCCCGTTTGTAAAACTGTACATAGAGGTGAATTGCTTGAGGCAAAAGATCTGCTGCCTGATATTCTCCATGATCCTGTCGTACCAGAGCAAAATGTAACCAGTGCTGTTAAGAATACCCTACAAGAGGATAGCGATTCAGATACTGATGTAGAAGGTTATGTACGAAGAACGGAGGTACTGTCACATGATATAGTTGAAGCCAAATCCTAGTCGAGTACACCCCCAAACAATGATTCTACCCACCTCACTGGATTATCAGAAAATTCAGATGATATTCAACCACGACGTACTTCTCGGTCAACTGCTGGTACTCATTCAAATCCACATCATTTACCTATAGCTGCACTGCAGGAATCAAATAGTCTACAGTTTATAGACTCCAACGTTTTGGCAGCTATTGCACAATCAAATTTACTTATCATGCAGTGTCTGAATAGGAAACAGCAGGTCGATGAGGACATCGCCTGAAGCAGGGAAGTGTGTAACATGGTGATTCACATACAATTGTAAATTTATTTTCGAAGGCGATAATTGCCTTCCATACTACATCGTCTTTTTTTTTTTATCTTTCTCCTTTACGCGGTTCAGTAAAACTAAGTTACCAAAGCTAGCTACTAAAGTTATAAAACTATCAAGATTATAAAATATTTAGGAAATTTGCACTTTGAAGGTATGTTGATTGTTTTTAGAATTAATTTATTATTGTTCGAAAGCTAGATTATATTG